CTCAATTCAGACCTATACTGTCAACAATTGACCAGTTTGATGCAGGCGCTAGATGAAAAGCGTCCAGAATTGGCCAATAGGAAGGGTGTTGAGATCTATCAAGACATCGCCAGGCCGTACACATCTCCAGACCTGGATACCAAATTTATTTATAAAAAATATAAATATTTTTAAATTTCAAAATGGTATTCTTTACTAAGCCATGAACAACATATCTTTATGAATAAAGTATTATACTATCTATCTTTATGAATAAAGTTTTATACTATAAGTATAATGTAGATGATATTATTATATAGACAAAAATTTGCAAAAAAAAAAACATTTTTCGAATATTCTAAAATACGTATTAAACCAGTAAATATGTTATTTTAGCATTAATATTGCTGTTATGAATTTCGATTTCTTGAAGTGATAATTAATGTTGTGTACACTTATTTAAACTGCCAGGACCTATATTTGTTAGAAGGTGTTTGCTTTATAACTGTCTGAAGAGATCCTTCACCCCTTCAAATTATCTGTGTGGTATTAAGAGTATACATGGTATTTATCACAAGTTGGCAAAGTGACAGCGGTCTATATTTAAAATTATGAATGTTAGAATGAATAGTTTCTATTCAATATAAGAAATGATAGTGCTGTAAATTCCTTACCTAAAAGTAAATATTGTTATTATTCAAATATTATTTTATATTCATATTCTTCGTTATAATGTTAGAAATGCAATTTAAATTAGTACAAAAAATCAAATAGATTTATTAATCTGTATTTAATAATAATTATACAGTCATATACTGTTTAACTAAAAGTTGTACAGAAATTAAGTTATCCAGATGTCTCAGTCAATAGGTTTCAAAGTAACGATGTCAACAACCATATATATCAAAAGGTAATTAAATGACATAGAAAACGTTTTTTTTTTAGTGCAAATGATTCTGATTTAGAAATAAATGTTATTGCTAAATAACTCTGTATAGGCAAAGTAAATTGTCAAATGAAATAGAAAAAAGCACAAACAATCACCTTATCACTAATATTTTAAAACGTGATTTCATTTTGTATGTAAGTTAAATATTATTTACATTTTAGTCTTTGCTTTTTTACCTTTAAACAAAGTGGAACGCATCCAATTTCTATGACTGCAAAATATTTGAATTTCATTAAAAAAAAATCTAAAATTTATTACTATATTACAATTTCTAGTTGTTTGTTCTCATATTTTTACATTTTCATCTCATTTTTGTAATATATAATAATATTTATTTTACTAATTTCAATTTTATTATTCAACTGTTGTTGAATTTTCTTCACATTTATTTCGTTCAAAGAGTGTTTAGATTTGTTTCATTTCATAGCATATTTTTGTCTGATGTATTTGTAAGTACGTATTTTTTGCTATTTCAATCTTTATAGATGTAATAAGGAAGCAATGACGGCATAATATATTTTGAGTTTGTAACAAAAGGAAGAAAGTGAAAATGCGGAAGGAACAGCACATCGAATGTGTTGTGTGGGATCGATGGTTGTTGCTAACTCTACATGGTTTTCTTTCAGCTTAATACTATGGATGGCTCTTCAACGTATTATCGCCTCTACACATAAGTTCTATCGCATGATGCGTTCAAATAGGGAAAGTCCTTGACAGAATACTGAGTTAAGTGATAGAGAGATAGAGTGGTAAATAGACGATGGAAAAGAACTGCTTGATGTAGTTGATGCAGCAGCTACAAACACGAAGTTTAATACGTGTATAAGATATTTTTTTCGAATATAATATGATGAAATCGCTGCGGTGTAGTATTTATGTGATGCACGAAGAGGAGAGTAAAATTCCGCCTAAAGATTTTTCGTATGGTTCATTGGCCTATAGAGAATCGCTTGCTTGGGGCCAGAACGCGACTTAAAAACCAGTTTCTATAACTAAATACCGTCATCATTGAGGTACCATGTCCGGCAAGCTGTATACATTATCTCGCATAAGAGTATGCCTATAAACACATATGCAAGAAAAGGAAGAAATCAAGATATACAGAGAGGACCCCGAAGCTTTTATTAAATTATTTTCCCAGTCCCTTATATCAGTTTCACATTACTCAAAAACTTTTCCTCGGTATTTCAGTTCGGTTAGTGTTTTCTTATTATAATATGTAGAGCTGAAGGAGCTTACATGGTCTGCATAAACGGTGATTGGGATTCAGTCTACTTTCTAGATCGGTTTTTACCGTGACAGTAAGTGCATTGCGTAAAGCGGGTGAGCGAAAATTTCGTGAAATATGATTTTCTCTAGAAGTGAATGCGGTGCGCTCAGAGGTAACAAGCAATAATACTGAACGGGAATGAACATAATTCGATCTGCAAAAGCGTTAAAATTGAATTATATAAGAACTCACTGCTTACGTTCGCTTTCTGCATGCCGCCACTATGCAAGACCGTTTTCTTCCGCATCTGTCCCTTATACCTCGGTAATATCGATGAAAGAGATTTTTGATATTTCGGAGTGATTATTTTTTCAATTTTCTTCGATTTATTTTTGATTTTCACAGATGTACTCCTTTTATTAGAAGTTATCTAATTTCTTCGCACTACATAAATATCAATAATATCGACCAAATGGATTTCTGATTTCATTTAAATGTAAAATAACGTGCTGCATAATTGACAATTTCAAATGCACTTGAATACATTAGGTGGTATCCATTTAAGTTCGTTGATAAGAATGGACTTTTCATCTCATCTACAAACATGTGAATATTAGATGAAGCTAATGGGATTGGAAGTATAGCCGCAACCGATGTAAATAGTAATAATTTCCTTTTAGAAGTGTACGTACGTACATATGTAAGTAACTTCCTAGTTGAAATGTTACGCCATGTTGGGTAGTAGCATTGGTGGCATTGATCCGAGCTAAAGGCTCCAGGCTTTACTCTCTCTCTCTCTGCCCGTTTCTCTCACTCTATCTCTCTCGCACATAAAGAGACTTCTCAGTTGAATGTTATGTGTGTACTGAGGTGCAGTCATGAGATGCATTTACCTGTACTGCACAAAGCATTTTACTTCACTTAGGTTGTCACGTAACATTAAATGTTCGAAATTCAGACGATACTATTTTCTCCAAGATTATTTTGCAAAATATTGTTGTCGAAAATTCTTGTATCTGACAACAAACAAACTGTGTTCTTTTTTTGAGTAGATGCGTTTGTTGTTTTTTTTTGTTTGCTTTAGAATCAGCTGATTTTTACGTAACCGCCTGTCGTCGTATGCGTTTTATCAATGGAAAATAAACAGAGACCGAGGAGCTCTCGCGTTATATAATGCAAAACTGGACACCCGTCAGCCTTGTTTCATAAGACCTCTCTGCTCGCTGCCTTGCATGTCCGTGAACTTAACCTTCGAGCATGCAATTTCGCTGTGTTACACATTGCTTCTCTTGCCTGCAACTTTCCCCGACGACCTTTAACCCTATAACTCAATATTTTATTTCTAGCTTTAAAAAATTTCAACAACATGTACTTTAATTTGTAAATAAATTAAATATATTTAAAATGCAGTAGTATAGTCTTTGATAAAATTAAATTTGCTGCAAGAAATATTATTGTAAATCTCTTGATTTCTAACAGGTTTGTAACAATAAAGTCGTCAATGAAAAATAGAATGCCAGAAGAAGAAAAGTTATTACTTGTTTTAGGGCAATCGAATATAATTGTCCTTCGGAGTTTTCATCTGAAAAAACAAATTTATTAAGATTAACGATTCAAACCTTTCCAAAAAAAGCAATCAAATGCGAAATATAATTCGGATATATAATTTTGTTTATATTTTAAATATTATTCATTAAATTTTGAAATAATTATATTTAGTTTTTTATTTATTTTTTCATAATAAAAGTTATTATTCGAAACATTATGATTTCATTTGCGTTTTTTTTTTCTACAATACATTCCATTGTAAAATTATAATATTAGAAATTTACCGATCTATTTTCTGCGAATACTTGCAATTTGATCAGCTCAGTGCATGTGTACATTTTACGTCACTGTACGCGCTCTGCATTTGCGAGGTTTATTATTACGAACAAGAAATTAACATAACTTTGTTGCCTTTCTAACACCTAATGCGAACAGATTCCCACCCCCTAATTTTATTAGTTCGTTGCCTTTTAATGCGAATAAATTGCATATACTCGGCCCGCTGTTTCCCTGAGTTATTTTTCTTCTATTTGCGCTAATGAGACACTTACACGTCGTTCCCGCGACTATTAATATTTATTTATGCTGATCATTATCTAATAATCAGTTATGTCTATTTTTTTTTATTATGACATAAAATACGCGTTTCGAAATATTGTTATTATATAGCAGGGGTTGCCAACAAATCGTCCGGTAATTCTAGACAAAAAAAAACATTTTTGTCTTTCACTTGATATGGATTTTTAAGGAACTTAATTATATGAAATATTAAAAAAATACTGGCAATCCTCTTTTATTGAATGAAAACTGGTTATAATCAGCACCCAAAGTGCTCCTAGATTTTATTTATTTCTTTGGTTCAAATGTTCCGTGGGATAAAGAAAAGGTTGAAATCTCTATTTTAGACTATCAAAATTGAAGGGTTGTTTATTCAATATTGATATTTTGTATTGCATTTTATCGCGATTTTTTTACAGATTAAAATCAGTACACATTGTTTATTATAATTATAATTTTTGCGGAAGTTGTCCTATTATTTCTCTGCAAAGAGTTTTTGTCCGTTCTTTATAGCGCAATGCGATTCGTTATTATCCATATACGCGACATGGCTTTTTGTTTCTCTTCCCAGTAACTGAGGACATTTAATATTCCCAATACTGTCGGTTTTACTGCTATTTTCCCGGTAAAATGTATCGAGATTGCGAATATCAAAATGCGAAGACACGCGAGTACCATAACGGAAACTCCGCTGGCGTTGCAGCAGTGACAGTGACCGCGCCTAAAATCTATCCTTTTTCTTCTCTTTACTTGTAGAACAACACTATGCGGCCGCCGATTCCAACAGCTCATCGACGACAAAATCCTTCGTGCCATGCAAGGTTTGCGGCGACAAGGCATCGGGATACCATTACGGAGTGACGTCCTGCGAAGGATGCAAGGTACAACGACGATGCGAGGCGTCACATGCTACGTCCCTTACGTCCTTATCATTTTGTCTTTGACTCTCTGTGCTAACGGTACAAGGAATAAATCAGTTTCGATCATTCGATTTCTTTTTGCGCGTCTCTCGATAGCCGTTGTAGTTGGAACTCGTTCCTTGCATTTTATATCTGGTTTTGTCCCATTCATTGATGCGACAATAATTCCGAGATTTATGCATATTCTTTTATTTTATATTATTATTTGTACTTATTAACTTGTACCGTCAGCGCAGAATTTGAATTAGAGAAAATTTTATCACTCGACGACAAAGTATGCTGATTTATTTGTTCTTTGTACAGGGATTCTTCAGGCGAAGTATCCAAAAACAAATCGAATACAGATGTCTAAGAGATGGCAAATGTCTGGTAATAAGGCTGAATAGGAATAGGTGTCAATATTGTCGGTTTAAGAAATGCCTCGCCGTCGGAATGTCAAGAGACTGTAAGTATTATTTGATATTATTAACTAAAACATAAGAAATATAGATTCGCAAAAGAGAATTACGAAAAACTATTATTAAGATCCTGATGCTATTATCTTTTTTGTTGCTATTATTGATCGTCGTTGACCATGAAATTGCATGGAACAATTTCCTGCACGTTTTCTAAGAACAATAAGCACGCGCATTCGAGTTTTATTCCTCGCCTCGTAGAAACCTATCATATGCAGTGCTGAAACTAGATTCTAGCAGAACAACGTATAATTGAAGCGCTTAATAACTTATCAATTTATATTTAAATAATATAAAAAAAATATATAAACGATAATATTTGATTTAACTATTTTTAGCTGTAAGATATGGACGAGTGCCGAAGAGGTCGAGAGAACGAAGTACGGACGAATCTTCGAGAGTTTCAACCACAGACGCCGACCAATCGGATTCGGAGTCAAAGCAGCTTGCAGTTTACGATGTGATCCAAACGGTGTCGCAGGCCCACAACGCAAACTGCGGCTACACCGAAGAGCACACCCGGAATCTAGTGAGGAAACCACTTGCTCAACCACCACCAACTAGTCCCGAAGATAACGAGGTTGCCTCGTCGACGGCGGAGAGTTTGGAATACCAGAGGTGCTGGCTATGGCAGCAGTTCGCCACTAACATTACGCCCAGCGTACAGAGGGTGGTAGAATTTGCAAAGCGGGTGCCGGGTTTCTGTGATCTGGGCCAGGACGATCAGTTGATACTCATTAAAATCGGTTTCTTCGAAATTTGGCTCAGCCATGTCGCCAGACTCACCACGAACACGTCGATGATGTTCGACGATGGTACTACGGTCACGAGACAGCAATTAGAAATTATGTACGATGTGAGTCGACGAATTTCTATTTAACTAAACTGTTCTATTTATGCTGCCCTTCTTTTCAGAGTGACTTTATATCATCGGTGATACAGTTCGCGAACACCTTCAATGCACTCTCACTAAATGACATGGAACTAGGATTGTTTTCATCCGTTGTCCTCTTGACCGGCGATCGACCTGGAATCACCGATGTTAAATCAATTGAACATCACCAGGATAAACTGATGGAAGCTCTCAAAGTACAGGTAAGAAATTAAAATAAACCATACTACAGTGGAATCACGGTTCTCTTCTCGCAAAATTTGCTTCCTAAACATAAAACTTAAATTTTTGTTAAACAACCAAGTTGTAGAGCTGTAGCGAGTAAACTTCAATTTCCAATGGAAATTATAAATTTATTGTTTTTTGCAGATGAACTGCATAAGAATTTAATTTTCTTGCTTTGTAATCAACACCTAAATCTATGACCAGACTACTTTTTGATAAATCAACTAATTTGTCTGTGATATATTTAGGTTGGCCGAAATCACGCGAATGATCCTCAGCTCTTTTCAAACTTGCTAATCAAACTGCCCGAGCTTAGAAACTTGGGAGCAAAGCATACGGCGCATTTAGATTGGTTCCGGATAAATTGGGTGAAGCTGAGTCTGCCGCCACTTTTCGCCGAGATATTCGACATTCCCAAGTGCGAGGACGACCTGCAATGACCGAAGTAGTCCCACCAGTGATATGTTTTTAGTGACGCAAATGTACACTTTATGTTTTTTTATCTTCATATACTTTGTTTAATTATTTTATTAATTATGTAAAAAAAAACGACGGGCTTCGCGATTTTATTTTTCGACCATCGTCCTCGCAAGAGAAAAAGAACTGTATACCCTATTGAATTACTTAAATTATAGGACAACTTGCGCTCTAAATGCCACATCTTGCTCAAATTGAAATTTGTTTATCAGTTGGAGATCATCTTCGAATCAATTAGATTACAGGGTCTAGGTAAGCATTGACCACTATTTTAGTCATTAAAAAGATAATTATATACATGGTGTCATCTAATGGACAAACTTCCATTTCGTTTCTTCGACGGTCTATCTACCGTCCAAAAGAAAGTAACAAAAAATATAATAATAATTTATGAATAGCAATATATATAATACAGTGCAAAAATAAACCACTCTGTTCAACTATTTAAATGAGTCACGTTATAACAACTGACATTAAAATAATTGAAATTAAAACGAATAATATAAAATATCTGGACGGAAAGACTGCGGTCAATATACATGTACAAACATGTACATGTATACAATAAATTATTTTTATTATTATAAAATTTCTATTTAAATATATGAAATCTATCAAAATAGTTGTTGATTGTATAGTTTCATCAGAGCAATAAATTATATAGAAAAAAAACAATTGAAGTTATTCGTCTTGATTTGACTGTTTTAATAATTATAAGACCGGTTAATCTATTATCTGTTAATAGTTGTCATAGGAACGAGTGAATTTGCTTAATGCATTTGTATAGTAAATACAAAATAGTACGGCGATATTATCAACTGATAAATAAAATGTAAACTTCTTCCGTTTTGCATTTGACAAGAATCATAATTGATGTGTAAATAATTACGAAAATTTCCTATAAATAATTGAACGAGTATACCACAATTTAAAGTATTCATATGGATGAAGTATATAGATGGACTTTATCAGTTGATATTTGTAAGCCTTAACAACACTTTAACGTTTATTGATACATATCATATAAATAATAATAGAATCGCCAAGCGATAACTTTTTCAGTGTTTGATCTTTGCTGTGTAAGTTTTACTGTAAATATTGTTATTAATTATTGACAATTCATGTTTTATATACATATATGTATATTTGGTGTGGAATCTATACGATTTTAGTGGAAATGCAAAATCCATCCTATTTTCTGACTTCTGAGAAATTGACTTAAAAAGTATTATGGATTCTGCAATTGTAAAATCGTCGGGTATTATAAAGAAGTTTACTTAATAATTATTTAGTCATATTTTCCTGATTTTTTTCTCTTTTATATGTAAATGTATTGTAGACAATGTAAAAAGCTTAATTGAAATGCAAAGGATCGGAATCAAGTGAAGTAACAATCATATCTAAGCGTATAAATGTAAGAAGTTCTTTTAATTGTCGGAGTGTTCAATCTCTAAAGTAGGGTACAAAATGATTCACTTTTTTTTTATGATATCATAAGGATTTTTTCTAGGGATTATGTATATTGATACTACTATCTTGATTTTACTGACTGAAGTTATTTATGAAGTTAGTTACTTTTATTAACGTTGCTAATTTGTAATCACTTTCATTATGTTTCATAGTTCTGCTCAATTAGAAAATCGGATTTAGTACTAATAAATCAATGTTTAATGATAATGGAATTTCCAAGGTTTCTATTCTTCATTGAAGACTAGAATATTTGATAAAAGACAATTTAATGTACCTAATTTTTCGTACTTAATATGAAGAAAGAAAAGCTAACCTTTGTATTTTGTAAATAGTTTGAATAATTATTCTATTTTCTTTCTATTCTGATACTTTTAGATACATTTACTATGTTCTTATTATTAAAATAAGCAAGAAAATATTTCCCACTGCCTTTCCGAAATCCACGTTTTATACATCTATATAATATGCCATTTTTTTTATATAATTTATTACTTTTTATATTTTTTTTATGTAAACCCAATGTTATTTATATTATTTGTTTATAGATTATATATATTATTTTAATTATTTTATAATGTGCTCATATATTTTAAAAACAAAATGATGATTAATTAATGAATCTTATTGAAATGTTGAATATCGTTGTTATTACTCTTGTTTATTCTATTGAATTTTATACAAGGTGCTCTTGCTGTGCAGCACTCTAAATAATAATACTGATACTTATTATTATTGTAGTTTTGTTATTGAATTTTATTGATTATTTTATATTATTATTATATTTTTGACGTCAAATGTATATTACTATTCTTATAAGTATGTTATTGTGGAAGAATCAAACTGAAGAAAAACAAACTGAGTGTTTTCCTCTCGAATCTATTTTATTAATTGGAACAAATAGCAGAAGTTACTATTATTTGCTTTTGTATTTCGTTCAAATGAAATTAAAGTACAAGTAGTGTTTAAAAAATGTGTTTCTTTTTTTTCATTCAGATCATTATTTAGAAATAAAATTAATAAACAACCTGTTTTCCATAGAATCTATAATTTTAGAAATAATTGTTGACTATTATTTCACTTATTATTATTACTTTCACCCATAACCAGAGTTTCAAGAAATCTAGTGCAGATATAACTGATATGTACACGCATCAAGTTTTGTTTTAGGATGTGAAAAATCGCATCTAAATTATACCATTTAAGAGATTATTTTGATATGTACACTTATTATGTTTTGCATTTCTATCGAAAATTATTTAATTAATAATCATTCAAAATTTGTTATACCTAAGATTCTTTCAGGGTACTATTTCAGTATTTTCCAAACTTTCAACATTTATGTACCTCTTCTATCATTTTCATAACACTGGATATACTTTAATAACAATCAAAATATATTTATTTTTTCTTTTTTTAGTACATAAACAAAATGTACAACATTCTTATAATCAATGAGACGGATGAAATTGTTTTTCTGACACGGCAGATCATCATAATTTAGTTCCCTGGTTATTAATTTTAATGCCATTCAAAAGCCTTTTCCTTTTTTGACTTAATGTCTACACATGCAAAAAGCAGGATACGCGACTTTAAAATAAAATTTTAACATATTCGCTTATAATAATAACAATAATTTATTAGCCATATAGTAGAACATAACATATATTTGATATATATAAAAAAAACAATTTTCTATAAAAAATTGAAAATAAATCAAAAATAAACTCAAATATGAAGAATCTTTACATATTTTGTTTTATTATAGAATTTTTAGAATTATTTTCATTTTATTTTTGTTATGTTCTATTATCTGGCTAAAAAAAATATTGTTATTGTTATAAGCGAATATGTTAAAATTTTATTTTAATGTGTCAGTCGCTCACTTGTCGCGTACCCAAAGAAGCAACTTCATATAGATATGATGTTGGAAAAGATATATTTCAGGACTTTCACTGTTCAAACTAGATACACATATTGCAGTTGTAACCGGAATGATGTTAAAGTACACTCCTTATGTTTATTTTTCAATAATCCGTCTAATGCTAATTCCAACAATTCCGCATGAAATAAACCTTCTGGCATGGATGTTGTATTAGTTTTGTATTTCTGTTTAAATCAGAAAACTAGTCTTGCGGCTCTAAATGCTTTGTTATATTCAGAGTATCAGAATCAATTTTACCAGCCAAACTTGTAAAACTCATGAAAAAGTTTTCTATTTTAATACAATTTAAAAATTATATCTTCTAAGTATGCCAATTTACAGAACCATGTCCAATCATATAAACAGTTTCTCACTCAAATTCATCATTAAGATAAACTTGAAGTTCATGTCTAAGTTCAAATAATCGGTATAGAATTTTCCCTAGAGATAGCCAACAACATCGGTATGAAAAAGACGCTGAGTATGACTACTTCCCATTTCTTCACACATTTGCAAAAATAGTAGTGCATTCAAAAGACAGCCTTTAATGTATATTTTCACGTTCTCGTCCAGAACTCTCTGTACATTAACGAGCTACAAAGTGCAAAGAGTTCTTTATTAATTCCGACCATACTTTTTGCTCCATCTGTGCTTATTCAGGCACAACTATTAATTCAATTAATTTTGTTCTTTTGCATATTATTTTTCATAACACCAAATATATCTTTTCCTGTTGTATAATGCTATAACATTTATAAAATTCGCAATATCAGTGTACTCATCGTCAAAGTAACATTTTTTTTCATTATTTTTCTATGTTTGTAATCGACAAAAATTGAGCTGCTTGTTTCACCAGGCGCAGCAACCCGGTACAGCGTGTACCCAAAAAACTCTTCCCGTCCACGGGGGGTACTCGTGCCACACTTTGGAAAACTCGTCTTCTGTTTTAAAGCATTAATTTTCAACTACTGCCAAGAAAAATTTAAATGATAATTAACTCAATTATTTTCCAATGTAGTACTAATCATAATAGGTGCAAGTGGGACAAAAAGTCTGGTCTAATTACTAGAAAATCAAGTACAGCAATCTCATTTTCAGAGGCAATCAGTACATGAGAAAGGACTCCTGCCCACCAGTGACTCTTAATGGAAACATAATTCCCGCAGCTAATTAAGTTAAATATCTAGTATGCATCTAAATAGAAAATTGTCCTGGAAAGATCACATCCAAGCAAAAAGAGAACAAGTCGAAATTAAGTTTAGGAAACTCTACTGGCTATTACGGGAAGACTTGCCAATTTCGAAAGAAAACAAGTTGCTGATCTATAAAGTAATTTTAAAACCTGTCTGGACATACGGAATACAGCTATGGGGAAGCAGCTGCAGATCTAATATTGCGACCATGCAAAGATTCCAGTCGAAGAGCCTAAGAAAAATCATTGGTGCTCCATGGTATATTACGAACAGGAGAATTCATTAGGACCTTCAAATGAAAACAGTAGAGGAAACGTATTAGCTGTCAATCTTCTTGATAATAGCCCAACAACACTGCGACTGAAGAGACATAAACCACTGGATCTACCATTGAGATTCAAGAAATAACCAATAAGTAATAAATGATCGGAAATGTCGGGCGATGTCCAAATAAAACCTTGTCAACAGCCAAATTATTTACTGAATGTTTTTATTATAGAACAGTCGTGAATGAATTGGACACTAAAAAACAGAGGAAAATCTTCTATACCCAAAATGGGGATACGTTTCTTCTAGTGGAGTAGATAGCATGGATCTGCAATGCAGAAGGGGCGCTGAGCTTTGATAAGGGGCGGTTTAAGATGGTCATGGTCTTTATTCGAAGTTTATAATTCGCTCGCCTCAGTGATCAATTATTTATCTATGAAATTGTTGCCCCGGTCATAAATACTTTATTCATGAAATTCTCTCATGCAGTCATCAATTCTGACAAATTCACGAAAAAAAAATCAATTAATACTAAAAATTATGATAATGAGTTGAATAGTTTTTTGACATAGACAAAAAAAAAGAAAATAAAAACAGAAAAAGAAAATAAATAGGCATGGAGCGGAACGATTTCCCATCGGAAATCTTTCTATAGACAAATATAAATTAAACAAAAAAAATAATAATTCTATGACAATAACAACTCAACTAAATATTGATTTTGACAACACTATGAAACTTAAATAAAAATAATCACTCTAATGGACAAGAACGAACTTTTAGTTTCTAAAGGGGAGGTCGAGGGTGTTGTGTCTCTTTAGTCTGTGGGGGGTGTCACTATTGTCTAGGAGGGACAACGCGAGACTGTTGGGGTGGTTTTCCAGTCTGTTTTGGTAACGGGCACTAAATTTGAGGATTTCACTCTTAACAGTGTTGATGTGGAGGTCTCTGTGTATCGTGTCGTTCGTCACGTACCAGGGGCTTGCACCAGGATACGCAGGCACTTAGACTGGAAGCGTTGCAGGAGTTGGAGTTGCTGGCTGTTCCTCAAAGCTGGATGTACGTCCACACTGGCATCAGAACTGTCTTGTATATCAGTAGTTTATTTTCGAGGGATAGCTGTGATCTTCTGCCAATCAGCCAGTACAACTTCGCGAACTGGTTGCCCAGTTGCTTCCTTTTCGTTGCGATGTGCTTCTTGCACGTAAGTCGGCTATTCAAGAACAAGCCCAAGTATTTGGCATCGTCGGCCTGCAGGATGATTTTGCTGTTGAGTGTGACCGGGGGATAAATAAACATAAATTAAATAAATATAAATAATTAATTATTTTTATTATAAAATTAGTACAAATATTATTGATTTTTTTTTATAAATATATCTTGTTTTTTTTTATTTTTGGTTAAAAATTGATATTTCAAAATGTAATATACTAATAATCTCTGTTTACGCACATCAAAATGATGAATCATAGTCATTCAAATCGTTCACAATGTTCAAGATAAAACAAATTATGACTAAACTATTAAAATATGAATGTTTGTCAATTATTTCTAAAATTTTGATATTTTAATTCATATATTTGGCATATATCCATTGTCCTTTGGCCCAAATTGGAACTGGGAAATACAGTAAATGACAATCATTATTATATTTATTTAAGAAATACATTTGTCTTAATACTATTGTTTATTTGTTTATATAGCAATTGATAATTTCATTCTTTTAGCATCTACATCATACGAATAAACGTTGTTTCTTCGGGAAATGCGATAAGATTTGAATTTTCCCAATGAAATGCCGCAAACGAAAATGAAACAAAATTCTTGCTTAATCATTCATGCATTCTTTTAACCTAATGACCAAAAGTCTATCATTTTAAAATGGAATATATTTTCCAATTTTTAGTAATTCCCTCTTAGGTTTATTTAGTTTTCAACACATATCTCTTAAATAGCCACTATTTTGTTCTTCACAATGGCACACTCTTTCTAACATGTGTTCCTTCACATGTCGTAATTTTTCTTAACTCATTACTTCATTTTCTTCACTTATATTGACCTTTATTTCCTGAATGAATGGATGTTTACGGTATAATCTTTCTGGAAGTATGAAATTAAAAAAGGCCCAAAGGACGCACAAAATCAAACCTAATCAATTAATTTACCTCATCTTTAAAGAAGTTGTGAATGTTAATGTAGGTAGTAATCGAATAAAGGAAAATCGATTCCGCCGATATCCCGTCTGTTTAAACTAAATATACAGAGGAACTAAATATACAAAAACTGAATAAAGGGAAATAACAATAATTTTATATAATATAATAACGTATATTTTTTTAGAATTTCTTTTATTTTGCTCAATTTAGTTGGTTTTGTAATTTTCAAACCGGATATATAATTCTGGACTCATCAAACCCGAACAATTCAAGGTATTGCTATATTACGAAATATTGTTATATTTATTTATCGTTTGAATATCTAAGATGTGATCTAAGGTAATAATTCTTCATTATTCCTTTAATTATATTCAACTTAATAAGTCAACTGCATATTTGAAAAAACAAATTATTGTTGTTAAAAATATCGTAGAAACTACACTAAAGTATTAAATCCAGTCAAAAAAAAAGTAATATGTTTGTAACTTTACGTTAAATATAATCATTATGGTTATGATACACAATTCACAAATCTTTATTTGGTCTTAGACTGAATGGAAGGTGTTAAATATAGGCAACCAACATTGTATTAATTTTAATATAAATGATAATTATTCTAAATAATTCTCTAAAGAATTACTCTAAAGAGTTTGAAATTACTAATTTAGCTATTATATTCAGTTCAACTATTAAACATTTCAAAATGTTATTGGCTTTTACGGATAGGTTAGTATTAATTTTGACGAGACGCCATCTGATGGCAGGGCGACAAATTAATTAATCGACAGACAAACCTAACTAGGCTTTGTGTCGGAGAGAGATGGAAGCAGATTGAATTAAGATGGCGGCGTAGTTGGTTTAGTGGGGTTGGTGTTCGGTGCAAATACTGTTAAAAAGCGGACAAAAATCAATCAATAAATAGAATAATGCCTGAACTAGGTGCCACGAAGGGACGTACCATTCTGTGATAATGAAAATTGGCATGTAGGCGGTCGTTTCGGGTAGAAATTCGCGTTTCATTAACGATTTCAGTCGCACCAGCCTGCATCCCCCCGACCGTGTTCCTGTTTTTTTTTGTTTCGTTCATGGACAACTGCGATCGCCGCTAGTGATTTGCACCTTAAGTGGCGGATTTCAGGGATCGGGATCCGTATTGTTTCGGTGTGTGGGTAATGAGCGGTTGCGATGGGCGCTCAGAATACCAAGGAAAGAACAACCATCACATCGGGCACTCATTCTATTCGAACTGCAAGAAGTAGACCTAGACCTTCCAAAGATGGACGACAAATTGTTTCCAATATCTTCACAGAGCACAGCGGTGAGTTTCTACTAGTTTCCCATGATATCACGCCTCTGATATCTATTGTGAAATGGTTATTCGAATATTTATCTTAAGGTTCCGAAAGATATGCACCTAGTGCAAGTGTTCTGCACCAGCTACTTGACGAAAATGAAAACAAGAACACGTTCGAGCAAGTTTTAATTATTCCTCCTTAGCTGTCACTTTTACTTTTCTATTTATGTACTTTTATTCTTAACAACAACAAAAGAAAACATACCAACGGTTTTGTTTTATTTTTAATTTTTGACCAACAGCTGCACGTATATATATATGCACACACCTTTCATCAATTGCAACTGTGAGTTCTTGGGTATCGCTTGAATTTTCCTAAATGACTCACGACGTTCCACTCTGTAGACGACACTTTTTGTTTGATGTCTAGTCTAAAAATAAACGACGTCTGTTTGGAATTAAACGCGGAAATTCGAATGTCCCCAGTGCGCTTAATTTATTTGTTTAAAGCCGAAATTTTGCTACCTATATTTATATATCCAAATCGTAACAGATTAGACATGGAAAACCTTGCCTTGAGTATGTGTATCGCAACATGATCTTCAGTTATTTGAGATTTGTAATTTTACGATATTCGATACGACAGATTACATTGCATTTCATGAATGCGAATTGCAGAACGAAGAATTAACACATATTCATTATATTTTTTTTTGTTTAAGATCATTCAATCGTCAATATCAATATTCTGTAATATATTGATCTAATATATAGGGCCAGACGTCCTTATTAAATAGTTATTTACAACTTATTTCAGTTAATGATATAATCTCTTCAAAATAATTTCGAAATACAGTTTAATAACTGAGAATGAAGGATTATTATTTCAAAATAAAAAGTAATTATGAAAATTATTCTTAAATATGAATAAGAAGGCATTTCTAATTTAGAAAATAATGTTAAATCTGTTTCGCTATTTGCCACAGTTCTATTCTTGGCCCATCACTGTTTCCATTCAACCAACATGTTTTCTGTTCAGTTTTACAATTTCGTTTATCATCATCGCCACTTAAATTTTATTTGTTGCTTATGGAAATTGTAATCAATTTAAATTCAATTCATGTGTCAACAGGAAGTCCACTGAAGTTCTCTTTCTTTCTCATTGGTCTTCCAAATATATAAATATATACGTATTTGGTGTGCTTTCGTTTAGGGTGCTCTCGAATGAATCTTAGTAATAATCAACATTACGTTCAAAATAAGGAAATCGTCCTTATGGGATTCGTAATTATCGTATTATTTGTATCATATTAATCGAAGAAGCACATTGAAATCATTATATTTATATGCATTGGTTTTGATAAATACCCAAGGAAGAACAAAATTGCAACAAAAAGATACAAAATGTTAAATATCACACCTAAGCACGACAAACTCAATTTGGTCATTACATTTTCTAAGAAGGAACCTATTTCTATTTCATCCAAAATTGGTTTTACCGTTTATTTTCTCATTTCCATTGTCCGTATTGTATGCATATGTTGGAATATCTGTTTTATGATGTACCATTTTCCATGTTCCCTTTTTCTTTATTCTTTACCTGCTATTGACCATTTTATTTCGCCCGTCTTCCATTATCCTCCAATATTTGCATATTTTTGGTCTTCCTGTTTTATTTTAATGTCAGGATAATATATAAACGTTCTCCGAATTCAAACATCTATTAAAATGAATTTTAATTATGTTATACTAATAATATGTATTAGTCACAACCTAAGTCTTTCCGCCCAGATACACAAAAACATATAAATTGTCACAATAAATCATACAAAAAAGACGTATTATGTTATATTTAACCACGTTTCAGTAAAACTTACAGTTGGAAATACATGTTTTTATGCTACAAATTTAAGGCCATTGTCATCGGTCGATATAAGAATGTTTAAGAATGTCTAAACTGTAGAGCAAGTGTATCAACGATTTACGATGGCAATTTAAAAGTTATATTATTTAATCTTAATTAAATATGAATTTATCAAATAATATATCACTAATTAAAAACAATAAGTCATCTATGTATATGTTTTGCTTCTGTTAATTTAACAGTCGACATTAATAGCGATGCTTCTAGTTTTTTTTTCTAAAATTATTATTTACAATTCTATATTATGTTGGGAATTGTCATAGAAGACTACATAGAAACAGGATATTTATAAATATATTAAGTTTTCATTAAATAAATTTAACCAAAAACTCCACTCCGACTTTCTATAAGCTCATGCTATAACAAGCAACTAACATATGTAAATTACTTAGATGTCATCAAATACTACTGAAATCAACCTTGGGTGCTTCTGCTCCTTCAAAAATCAATATAATAGTTATAGTCATAGTTAGGTAATAATGTTTATGTTGGTATTAAATAAATACTGGATGGCCGACCTAATAGATTTGATAAAATTGTAAAAATAAAAATGTACTAAACAACACTATTCTCAAGATTTTTTATTTTCTTTTCATATTATTCAGTCACATCACTGTAATTAATTTATTTACGTTGTGGATAAATAAATTAGTTATATGAAATACAATTTGGTTTACAATGTTTATTTTTCTAGAAAGCATAAACATAAGTGATTTCAACATAAAAACAACTACCAAATGATTATCATACATTTTTAATTAATTTTGTTTTCTTACTTTATGTTGGTATAGCAAAATACACTTTCCAATGAAAATGTGTTTACATTGTAGTTATAATTTTATTTGTCATGCTGTTCAAAAATTGCTACTAGATAATTACGTCGACTTTTTGCGTTCAAAATATTTAAATCCAATCGAGACTGTTATTAGTATATTCCATTAAATATTGAACTAAATATCAGTTATCGGTAAATAACCTCTAGGAATTGTATAACTCTCTTTGTGTAAAAAAATGATAAGTAACAGCTCACAATTGCTTGTATTATTATTTGTTTTTCTGTTTTATTTACATTTAAATTAGAAGATATTCTACAAATGAATAAATATTTGCAGAGGCTCTGTTGCAAAGTAGGCCTTTGCCACATATACCGAGCGTTCCGGAAACGGAACCGCCAGGCACTTTGAGCACCACCTGTACACTGGGTTCTGGTAATACAATCAGCACCCTCTCGGGTACCCATGGATCCGGTTCCGTGTCCACATCGTTGCCGCTCGAAACTGCCAATCGATGGACTTCCAAAGAAAATCTCCTCACCCAAGAAGAGGACGATCCCCAACTATTCGTCGCTCTCTACGATTTTCAAGCGGGCGGAGAAAACCAACTCAGTTTGAAAAAAGGTAAACTAGCCTTTTTGACTATAATTTCATTGGTGAATCCGAATGCATTGTAAAAAACATAATATTAAATAATTAGCAAAATATAGTAATAGGCTTATTTAGTAATGTAATGAATAATAACACAAATAATTATAGCTAACTATGATTAATAATATTAACAAAGAGTGGTATTATAGTTATTTAATTCTCAGTAGAGTGTTTACAAAACATAATGTCAGGATTGAAGAGCTTAAGGTTGATTGTCAGTTGGAAACCAGAACTATTATAGCCATAATTATGTTTTAACTAAATGAAACGCATTTACCTTTTACTAACTTGTATACTTTATTTTATTTGTGCAACTATATATATTTAAACGGAAATTTTGTTTTCAATTGCAGGTGAACAAGTGCGAATATTGAGTTACAATAAAAGTGGAGAATGGTGCGAGGCGCATTCGTCTTCGAATAAGGTGGGCTGGGTGCCGTCAAATTATGTTACACCTGTGAATTCGCTAGAGAAACATTCATGGTACCATGGACCGATATCCCGAAATGCCGCCGAATATTTGCTATCTTCGGGTATAAATGGTAGCTTTCTTGTGCGAGAGTCTGAGAGCAGCCCTGGTCAGCGTAGTATATCTTTGAGATACGAAGGTCGTGTCTATCATTATCGGATCAATGAAGACGCTGAAGGAAAAGTGTTTGTAACGGCTGAGAGTAAATTCAACACTCTCGCCGAATTAGTGCACCACCATTCGATGCAATCGGACGGCCTTATTACGCAACTGCTGTATCCGGCGCCGAAGCATAACAAGCCCACGGTGTTTCCACTTAGTCCGGAACCTGATGAATGGGAAATCAACAGGACTGATATTGTTATGAGGCATAAATTGGGCGGCGGTCAGTATGGGGATGTATACGAGGCGGTCTGGAAACGGTACAACATGACAGTGGCCGTAAAGACGCTCAAGGAAGATACCATGGCTCTGAAGGATTTCCTGGAGGAAGCAGCCATTATGAAGGAGATGAAACATCCTAACCTTGTGCAATTGATGGGCGTCTGTACAAGGGAACCTCCGTTTTATATAATAACAGAATTTATGAGTAAAGGCAATCTTCTAGATTATTTGAGAAATGGGAACAAGAATCAAATAAACGCTGTGGTTCTTATGTACATGGCGACGCAAATAGCGAGCGGTATGAGCTATTTGGAGAGCCGTTGCTTCATCCACAGAGATTTAGCCGCTAGAAATTGCCTGGTCGCCGATGACCACTTGGTGAAAGTTGCAGATTTCGGTTTGGCCAGATTAATGAGGGATGACACGTATACGGCTCACGCCGGTGCCAAATTCCCAATTAAATGGACCGCTCCTGAAGGACTGGCCTACAATAAATTCAGCACTAAATCGGATGTTTGGGCGTTCGGAATTTTACTCTGGGAAATTGCCACCTACGGCATGTCTCCGTATCCCGGTGTCGATTTAACTGATGTTTATCACACGCTCGAAAAAGGTTACAGAATGGAGTGCCCACAAGGTTGTCCCCCAAAGATTTATGAACTAATGAAACAGTGCTGGCAGTGGAACGCGCACGAAAGGCCCACTTTCAAAGAAATACATCATTCTCTCGAGAACATGTTTCAAGAATCCAGTATCACAGAAGGTCAGTTCACAACGAAATTTGTTTAATTTACACCCCTGCACATGCTCACGATCATTAACCCAAGTAGAAATATTGTCACAGGTCATATAATCGTAAAACTCGAATGCAATGGAAAAGAAAGAAAAAATGAATTGAAAATCCAATTTTCATTTCTACTTGGGCGCTAGGCACATGTGCTTTTCTTCTAGATTGGGCTTTTTGTAGATGTCGACTTCAAATTTGGCATGTACTAAGAGAAGTCGATGAGAGGAAGAGCTGAAAATTGGATTAATAATTTATATTTAATAATATAAAATATATACCATGCTACTTATCAACATAATTATATTTATATATAAAAACATAAAACTAACTAATATTAATAACTATTGGACCAATTAATTTAATATTACTAACTAAAATGTCTCGTGTGTACATACTGAAGTGAATGGAGGAGAAACTAATATTTTATATAAATACTATTTTAGAAGTAGAAAAGCAATTGCAAGTATCGGAAACGTCTCCGGTGCCTATGGGAACGCCTCATCTTTCATTTAAGAAAACACATTCTGGTAGCACTGGCAATTTGCACGGACTTATTGGCATTTCCGATCAAACACCGACAGGTATGAACATGCATTAATCAACTATTGAAGAATCGGAAGTAAATTCATTTATTATAATATTTCATATAGAAACTGTAATAACAAAATTGAGTACGTTCACGGGTGGAGCAAAGGGTAACGTGCAGATGAGGAGACCTACAAACAGAAAAGGGAAGCAAGCGCCAGCGCCTCCCAAACGGACCAGGTAAAACTTCGCTCTCATCACCAAACACTTAACTAAATCCTAACGACACACTGCAAAATGTTATTAACTTACATTGCGTTTTCAGCCTGCTCTCTTCTTGCAGTTCTTTCCGCGACAGTACATTCGACGACCAAGGGCAAGCAGCGGAGGGACCCGAGGACGGAGATTTAAATGGTATTAATAAACGATTCGAAGGTATTTTTTATATCAATTATTTGACATTCCTTGGGGATTTTAATACTAACACAGAATGTGTTTCTGTTAACCACATTCGTTGACTGATGATTCTCAAATACGGGAAATTTAAATTCTACCATATTTTATTAATATTTGATTTGTCATAAAAAATAACAATCATATATAGCATACTTTAATTCATATATTTAATTTACTAGAATATATTTCTATTTTGACCATAATATATGTAAGAAAATGAGTTATAAAAGTTATGATTTTTTTTTCTTATTAATTAGGCATAACTAAAGAACTTCAAAATTTAACTGCAAGTACAAAGGGTGATAGCGAGAACGAGTTTCAAGATCAGACGCCAGATACGGATGATTCCGGGGCGCACTCGTATCCCGAAATGTCTGGATCTGCATTTGTTGTCCCTGGGACAGGTTCATTCAAAAGGGCTCCCATTATGGGGAATCGGGGTCTCGAGCAGAGGGGCAAAAAGTCTAAAACGTACCCCCTGAAAGAGTCGCAACAGGTACGTGCGAAATTTCCTTGCACTATATTTTTGAATGTTGATCTCAATGTGTATTAGATACAGGTCGGAGCATTAGAAGTGAAAAATGTGAGGCAAGTAATCAATAGATACGGAACAATTCCTAAAGGCGCTAAGATTGGGGCTTACTTTGAATCAATGAGGCAATGCGGTGTGTTGAACAATCAAGACCAACAACCAAACGAACACAAAGAAAGCTCGCAACGATCGTTGTCACCGAGAACTAATATTAGAACTCAACCTCAAATGATCCGCAGCAACTCTTCCAGCGGCGTAACTGCGTCGTCCATACTTCCTCATCCGCCTAACAGCCCCACAGCTTCTAAGTTTAATAGGAATAGAAATATTGGTAGAAATAATACAACTGACTTAGGGGCAAGCTTGAGAACTTTTAAGGTATGAGAGATTTATATTATAGTATATATTTAATTTCAATAATTGTTTTTAACCGTAGGTTGCTCAAAATCAAAGTAGTTTTCGAGGTGGAAGTCCTTCAAGATCGATTCAACCAACATTGGCCGATTTAGAGTTTCCACCGCCACCGACAGACTTACCTCCACCTCCAGAAGAATTCGACGGACCTGTCGATTCTGTGGATGGATTTACGATGACATCATCGTTTGAAGTGAAGAAGAAACGTATTACCATATCTCCATTGACATCAAAAAAATTGGATAATGAAACGGATGACAATAATGACGTTAGCAATCTGCAGCCATCAGTGGAAGAAGCCAGCTCCAGGTTTCTATCAATAAATTAAAAACGATGTTGTTATTGATTTCAATTTTTGTAGATTTGGAGTGAGCTTAAGAAAACGCGAGCCTTCCTCTGATAGTTGCAGCAGTATAAATAGAGAAGAGAATAAAGAAAGGAGCCCCCAAAGAACCAGCCTCAGCCTAACTAGTCCTAGCATCGAAGGCAAAAGCCCAATGAGTATAGATTCTGATGTCCCAACAGTGGGTTCTCCCTTAGATTTACCACCGCCACCATTTGCTGAAATTGGTGAGTGAAATATAAATTGTATTAATAAATAAAAGTTGATAATATATATTTTAAGTAGAAGAAAATATTGAAGATGATTCTCAAGACAATAAAACTAAACTGCTGAAGAGCATAGTTAAGAAAGAAATGGAACTGAAGTTAGTGACAGAGATAAAGGAGAGAGCGGACCAAAAAACGAAAAATCCGAAGGAGTCTCCTGATACGATTTTGGCTGTGAGTAGCATTAATCATGATCCCTTAAATCAGCTGGTATCTGAGTTATCGGAGCAGCTTCATCTCGATAAGAAGATTACTGCGAAGCCTCAGCCCGAAAGCAACGGTACGTTTGTACCTCAGCTTAAAAAAGTAGAATGCAACAAGAAACCTGTACCCAAAGATAAAAATGATTCGATAGATTCTGGAATAATAATTGATTTCAAATCGCGGTTGCGAAAAGTGGATAATGGCAATGATAAAAAGCTCGATGATGACGACAAACAAGAACAAAACAAGAATGTAATTGAAGTAGACGAAGGTAGTTCTGACAGTGCAAATCTAAAAATTGAAGAGAGCGACGATAAGCGCAAGAGCACGGGCAGCATAAACAGTTTAAAAAAATTGTGGGAGCCCAAGGAGAACTCCGAAACTAACATGCAGTTGAGCCCAAAACTTATTTTGAAGAATAACAAGAACGAGGATGGCGTTGAAATTTCACCAAGCGATTTGTCGGAAGAGTCTATGAGAGTGAAAGTTGAGAGACGTGGCTGGCCTCCTGTGGTCACAGATGAGAAACCTGTAATACCAACGAAACCTTCAGTGAAAGCAGTAAAACCAGCAATTCCGACTCGTTGCGCTTCCTCTGCCATTTACGCCACTCCAATCTCCAATTCTGGCGGAGGCCCGAATAAACCTCCGATATCTATGAAACCCATTAGTTTGGAATGTAAGCCTACCGAAGGCGATCAAAGGCCGCCGAGCAACGAGAACAAGTCTAGCAAAGAAAATATCCTGGAGATATCTCAAGAGCTCGAGTCCACCTTGAATAGTATTAAATTGAATTCGACTGTCCCAACGACGACCTGGCATCAACTTTCTGACAAAATCGAATTTTTTCATAGATTCTGCATGGACCATGCTGACAATGTAGTTCCTGCACACACCAAGTTTCAGTTTCGTGAACTCCTTACTAGACTGGAAACTCAAGCGCAACAGTTGCGCACGGCCGGATCCAGAAACACTTCCGACAACTCCAAGTGTATCAACGAAGTCAACAATACTATCAAAGATGTTGTCAATGTTCTCAATCGATAAGCTGTTTAGTTCAGTTTGCATTGTAATCCCCTGAACGGTTTTATATACTCCTTTATAGTTTCTACTTGTTTGTGTACCATAAACATAGGGACTCCGAGAAATTAATATAGAAATAATGTAATCATCTTTTACTTTGAAGTATATATATATATAAACAAATTAAAAGTTGATACATGTTGCACTATTATTATACATATATTAATGTACGGAGAGAGTTTATGGGATTGTTGCATTGTACATTTGCAATGCGATGCAATTTGGATGATTGTGAAGTAATCAAATCGGCATTTTATTTGCTTTGTATACCATTGAACGGTAGCCTGTATTAAAAAAAATGAAAATATTAGCAAGGATGAAAGTATCCTGCCAGCATTGATATTTATCATAAATTTGGTTTACAATACTGTTTGATTTTTTTTATTTAATCTAATGAAAAAAAAAATGAAAAAATATTCATTGAACTGTGATATCATTAGATTGTTTATATATATATATATATTCATATATATATACTTATACATATAAATATATATATATATACTTATATATAAACATATATATATATATGTGTGCATATATATATTGCTCAATTCGTAAATTATTTTGTGGCGATGACTCTTTATTTCCCATTTTATGTTCTTTTCTATTTAAACCCAAAACGAATTTTCGTTCGTTCCTAACGGGTTCATATTTTTAATTATCTTTTAGTTTCAGACAATTTTTTCATGCTAGTCTTGTAATATATTTACTATGTTTGGGTGGTGTGTGAAACGTGGATGTATTTTCTTAAATATTTTTTTTAAAACAAAATAAAAACCATAAGACTTAGGTTTTCAATGAGAAAAAAAAAACACTATTTTGTATAATCCAAAGATACATTACTTTTAGCTAGATGCAATATGAATATACGTATGAATATATTTATATTGGTCGCGCAAATTTTCAACAGTTTTTCTTCCTTATTTATTAACTTTTGTCCTTTTGAAAGTGGATAGACTTTGTTTTAACATGTACATATAATATCACCATCGTATTTGACTGACTTCTGTATTTTTTTTCTTTCAAACCAAATATATAGTCTTTTTACATTTTTAAGTTATATAATATTTTGTATTTATTTGTATGGGTGTTGTATCTATATTATAAAGTATATATTATTATTATATAAGAAACAGAACAATGTTACAACGATATACTCCCTACTATTTGTATGCGAACTGAATTGGACGGT